ATGAGGTTTATATGCCATCCCGAGCTAGGGAATGGGATTGGGGCCTGGGGCTTCCAAGGAGAGGAAGGTCATTCACATGACATACGAGGAAGAGCAGATGTTGGATAATGTTTGCCCTGCCATATAGATGGGGCCACTTAGATAAAAGTTATCTCTGGTAATAACTCTTTTTCTCAGAAAAATCCCCAACTTAAATCCTTTTAGGGAGTTAAGGGAGGGGCAGTAATTCCTCTTGAACGCATAGGGTCTCCATGGCCTTTACCTCAAAATAATTTACACGCCAAAGTGGCTTATCTTGGGGAGGCCTGTTCTGAAACCTTAGGCTAGTGGGACCTTGGGCAACAACTCCTCCAGGCCTGTTTTTTCACATGTAGGGCTACAGTTAGAATTAAACAAACTCACATAAAGCACTGGGCACAGGGCTTCCCTGGTGGTGCAGTGGTTGAGAGTCCGCCTGCCGATGCAGGGGACAGGGGTTCGAGCCCCGGTCCGGGAAGATCCCACATGCCGCGGAGCGGCTGGGCCCGTGAGCCATGGCTGCTGAGCCTGCGCGTCCGGAGCCTGTGCTCCGCAACGGGAGAGGCCACAACAGTGAGAGGCCCGCGTAAAAAAAAAAAAAAAAAAAGCACCGGGCACAGTCTTTAATGCATATTAAGTGTTAGCTGTTCCTGCATTATCTGTCCCTTCTCCTCCCTCTTCACCCACAGGTGGCCCATCACTGAATGGGGAACTTCGCGTCCAGTGAAAACACTCCAGGGATATCAAGAAGCTGTGCTCAGGGTCTCTTACCCCAGCGGGTTCCTTGCCAAGACTATTTGGCCAGCATCTCCTTTGTGCACTCAACTTTCCCACACAACAGACAGAGGGATTTGTGGGGAAAGTTTCCCCTATTTCCCTTCCTGCACTTGGAAGACCAGGAATAATCACTAGGATAATCCTCATTTGGTTTTCATGAGACCCACCTTTCTCCTAAGTGGAGGGGGAAACTGTTAAGTGACAGAATTTATTTTGAATTAAATCAAAAATATAGCCACACATTCACATACCATTTACTGCTAGGGGCTTTTCAAAGTCTCAAAGTCACAATTGAAAACAGTGCTTTTAACTTGAAAAAAAAAAATCAAAGGTCAATTTTTAATCTAAGATTGTAGAGAATTGAGAACTGTTTTTTATTTTACTTTAATGAATAAAGCATCTGTGCATAGCTATCTTAAATTTTAAAAAGAAAGAAATCCAGTCAACCCTGTTATACAGAAAAAAGGAACTTTTTGTTGCATAGAAGAAAAAGTTGTGGTTTTTTTAATTCCTAAGAAGCGCATTTTTTAAATGTATTATAGCACCCTCTTTTGGTATCTAAGAGCATAAGGTGTCTTAAACAATCAGCCAGGGATTAGCACACTTTTTATTATAATTTCCGTTCTAAACTGTCTCTTAGAAAAAAATCGTGTTTAAAACACTGTGGGTTTTGTTTGCTGCTGTTGGTTTACTTTATTTTTGCAACAATCCTGAGCAATACAAGTAGCAGAATTGGTAAAACAAAACAAAACAAATTGAAAACCTTAGGAAACCTGATTAAATTTGACTTTTGTTAAATTCATAAGCGATGTGATGCTGGCTCCACCTAGTGTCGATTTTGAGTAATTCCGAAAACCGAAAATTAAAAACGAAAATAATTTCCCTAGAGGCCTACAGTCAATTTAGGTTAAATTTAAGTTAAAATCCTAGAACCAAATCCACATTTCTTGACTGATAGCTCTCTGCTTTTTTTCCTTATTGTTATACACAATATTCAAATATCAAAGAAAGGAAAGATTTAAAAAGCAAATCCCTTCCACTAACAGAAATCCAATTTAGGTGAAAATTTTATTATAAAACAAGAATTTTGAATATCTAATATATCTGAAGCACCACAAGAGCCTTCACAGAGCTGCTGAAGTCAATTCCATACACTCTAAGTTGGGGCAAAAGTTTTTTCCTAGTTTCTAGCTCTGAGAAGAATGGTTCCCAAGACCTCTGTAGCCATCCCCATCCCCATCTAGCACTTTAGGGGCTTCTCTGCCATGAATACTGCCAAATATTATTCAGCCTCTGAATTGCATCTACATGGAACAAGGGAAGTCATTTCATTCACCTATGTGGCCCTACTTTTAAGATACTTATAGTTAGTTCATGCCAGATTATTTTTGTGTCTCCTACAGAATGTCAGTGTGCCCTTTTCACAATCATGACCAGCCCCAGCACAAACATGAAATGAATCAAGTGTGAGCATGGTGCCTCTCTTATTTTCAGTTCCACTTTATCCCCTTCGCCTCATTTCCAGGTACTTCCTCCCACCCTACAGAGCCATAGGCTCCTCACCAATTTTCCTTTCCTTCAGGGTCTCCCAAGTTAATAGCAAATTAAATGGTAATTGTGCTTGCCCTATAACATCTTTTCTGGAATAAGGTAAAATATGAATTAATGAAGGAGTGACTGAATAAATACATGCCAAACAAATAAATAAAATTGCTCGTGCTAAGATATCAATGTCTTCTGCCTATGTACAACTTTTCAATTTTCTTAGGAATCCTAAGTGGAATTCAGACAAATTTAATAAGAGTTGTGGATGGGACGGTCTGAGGCAAAGGGGCCATTTAGAGCAGTAGAGGCAGTGCATATCCTGGTTCTGAGAGCCCTATCCCAGACCACTGTTGCCATTTTCTTACTTGAGTGAATTCCCAAAGGCACTCCCTGAATCCATTTTCTTCATCTGTAAAATGAGAAACATTAACAACCATTTTGTATGATTATTATTATGAAGCTTCAAAAGGATCTACTAGGGTGCTTAGTAATCACCAGACACTCAAAGTATGGCTATAATAATAATTTTCCCTATTACTGTGTACTCAATGAGCAATCTGTTCTAGGATTTTAACAGGTAGCAACAATACATTCTCTAGCCCTTTGAGCCAATGCTTCCATTTTTAAATAGCTGCAGATTTTCGATGTTCTGAGAGTCATCAAGAGTAACTCTGGGGGCTTCCCTGGTGGCGCAGTGGTTGAGAGTCCGCCTGCTGATGTAGGGGACACGGGTTCGTGCCCCGGTCCGGGAAGATCCCACATGCTGTGGAGCGGCTGGGCCCATGAGCCATGGCCGCTGAGCCTGTGCTCCGCAACGGGAGAGGCCACAACAGTGAGAGGCCCGCATACCGCAAAAAAAAAAAAAGAAAAAAAAGAATATATGTCATTACTAGCAACGATGAGGAGGGACATGGCTTCATTTCTGGTCTTCTAAATGAGAGATAAATATCTTCCAAGTGAGACATAAATACTATGACTCAAGATCTGTTACTTTTTTTCTCTTCTACATTTTCATGGAACACGTTACTACTCATTTAAATACTGAATCAAAATTCTGTGTCAGTAACTGTCATAAAACACTAGGGAGGTGACTCGTTGTTAAAAGGTAATACTCATCACCTGTCAGTGGCTCATTAGCATGACTGAATAGGCACTAATGTGGTAATTACCATGAATTGTCAATTTCCATCAGAGTGTCTTCTCCCAGCCCTGAGATTGGGGATGTTTGTGAAATCACAGAGGAAGGCAGAAGATGGCCAAGTTAACAAATCCAGCTGCCCACCATCTCCACTACCAGAAAATAATGGCAAAAACATCTAGAATAAAAACAATGATGATGATAGCTAATATTTATTGAATAATTATTCTTTGCCAGACATTAGCCAAGTGTCTTACATATTCTATTGCATTTACTACTTCCACTCACCCTATAAAGTATGTACTATTATTAATACTATTCCAAGAGGATAAAACTTAGAGACATGGTATAAATTGCCCAAGATCATACAGCTAATGAGTAGCAGAGCTAGAATTCAAACAGGTCATCTGAATCCAAAATCCACATGCTTGACAGTTTCACTCTGTTCCAGGGTTTTTCAGCCTCAGCACTATTGACACTCGTGGCTAGATAGTTCTTCACTGTGAGGGTCTGCCCTGCAGGACTGAAGGACTCTTAGCAGCTTAGCAGCATCCCTGGCTCTGCCAACTAGATGCCAGTAGCACCTTCTCTCCCTGGGCCCCTCCCTACTAGTGGCAGCCAGAAATGTCTCCAGATGTTACCAAATGTCCTCCAGAAGGCAAAATTGCTACTCCCCCCAAACTTGAAAACTCTACCCTAACTCCTCTTTATACTGATTATATAATAGCATGTCATTAAATAACTTCCAGAAACCTATTTTAACGGCTATAAGACATTTTATTGAATGTTAAATTAGTACTATACCCAAAATATTACTTTTGATTATTTTTTAAAGAAAAATTTATGTTTAAGAACTTATAACAAGATTTTTTGAAATCTACCCCTTTGGTGTATTCTCAGATTTAAAGATACACTTTGTCAATGAAATGAGAAGCAGGAGGTGTTTTATATCGCAAAGATTATTAACTTCCCTTGCTAAAATGTGTCACTGTTTTTCACCTGTTATACTACAGGAGAGAAAATGAAGAAGCCTTGTGTCAGTAAGAAGTTTCTTTAATAGTGAAAGAGTTTATTTGATTACTGTATACAGACATGGCCTAAATCAACAATCAAATAAAATATGGCATGCATATATATCTGAAAATAAAAATAAATTCATTAGTCAGATTTTCTTTAAAAATTCAGAATTCTTTGATTTTCCTAAACTGTCTAATAAATCAAAATTTACTAAAGCTTTGGTTTTGGTTTCATTCCTTTTAAAATATATACTTAAATAAATATTAAAAGCAAGTATTTTGCTATTTCTACCTACACCATTCACTAAATACTTAAGTGCTTACTATTATGTTAGCTAGTTTAGGAAAGATATAAAAATTAATGTCTGCATTCCTGAGGAAATTATCTTAGAAACAAGTCACATACACAAAAGCCCTAACAATAAGAAAGGACAGTATAAAGCAACTAGTAAAGTGTTTTGTGTAATTCACATTAAAGAAAAATATATGCACACACACACACACACTGAAGTTAAGGAAGACCGCGAGATTCATTTAATAGGCATATTCCATATAAACTACTCATCATAAATTTTCCATTTTAAGAGTCCACATGAAAAATCAGTATGCAGAGACTAGAAGCAAAATACAGCAAACAAAAACTTCCTAGAGATGTCTGAGTTGTCAAATTTTACTACCTTTCCAAATCTTTGTAAGGTTTGAGAAGAAAATGGTGCATTGTTGGATAAAAACAAACATACTTTTACTGATGCATTTTTTACTATTCTATCTCACCAAAACCACAATTTCCTACAAATCCCATGAAGTTTTAAATTAATAGCGCTTGGCTCCTATTTACCAAGAAGTGGTTTACCCATCACCATAAAAATGGAATTAAAAATATATCTGGCTAAAGAAATCCAAAAGAGAACGTTGGATTTTGTTGGGTTTATTGACAATGATATGTATTTAAGTGACCGTGCATTCTTACCCTCTCTCTTGGGTGCAATTCGGAAGTAATCTGCCTTTTAATAACCTACACTGGACATTACGGTTGCAATCCAAGTGAGCAGTGTCACAACAAAATTATCTAGTACACACACGTTGCTTAGGGCAGCAATGTTACCATAGTTACTACCAAACATCTCAGGAAAGCAGAGCCACTAAGTCTTTCAATGTGCAGAAATTCAGCACTTTTGATACGTAATGAGCCTTCATTTTCCTTCATCTTTGGGCTTTTCCAATTGGTCTTGTGCTGTTTCTTTATCTTTCTTTTTCACATCTAAAAAAACAAATAATTTTCCATCATATAGAGAATATACTGAAATCTACTTTGTATTATATTGGAATAAAACAGCTGGTTTTTCCTTTATGCATCCTAGTCATTTTCTACTTGATTAGGACATACTTTGCCATCAGTGCAGATGTAGAAACTACACAAAGGAAAGAGATATGGGTCTGTCTCTTAGTTACCTTTCTCTCCCATTCTCCAGACTTATGTGCCAGGCGGTCTTCAAAGGTATTATTACAATCTCCATTTATAGATTAGTTTACTGAAGCATAAACAGGTTAAGTGACTTGCCCAAAGTCACCGAGCTAGTAAGTGACAGAGCCACAGTTTGGATGCAGACTGACTGACCCTGCCCTTCCCCATCTCTCGATGTTGGATCACACTCTCTAGCTTCCTTACACTTTTTATCTCCTTTGCTCTTAGGACTTAATCGCACTTTCTACTTCCAGGAAAAAAAAGTCAAACAATCAGATCACACAAGCTCGACTTTCTGCCACCAAACCTCTAAAATCCCCTGCCGTCTCGACTTTTTCCTTCTGCCCATGTTACAATGGAAGATGTGCTCCTCAGGACTGACTACATGAGTTGTTGGAACCCAGTGCAAAGTGAAAACACAGCACCCCTTATTCAAAAAATATGGAAAATTTCAAGGCAGCAACAGTAGAACAAAACCAAGGGCGAGCCTGTTATGAGCCCGAGGCCCTGCGCAGCTGCCCACCCAGCGCGCCCTTGTAGCTGGCCTTGGTGCTGCTCCTACTGTCCAGGTCTAATTTCTTCACAAGCCAGGATCTTATCCATTTCTGCCTCAACAGCACTCTCAAGATCATCTCTAATCCCTGCATTTCACCTGACTTTTGCTCTTTCTCCTGGCGCCGTCATTTCCTCAAGTCACTACCATCTTCAAACTAACGAAGGCCTTCTTTCCACTGCAATTCCTCCACTTACTGGCTTTTCTTTTATCCTTTAAAATATATTATATCTTTTGCTGTCAGCATTTTAAAACAAAACTATTGTTTCTACTACTTCCGCAAAATGGGTCCTGCCAAAATCATCAATGGCATCTTTGAAAAGAAATCTGATAGACCATTCAGTTCTCCAACTTTCAAGCACTATGTACCAAGCAGTGAAAAAAAAAAAAACAAACCAAACAAACATACATTCCAGCTCTCAGGGAACTTCTTGTGAGGAATATGCACAAGAACTAAAATAAGTAAAATGAGTGGCATGTGGGAAGTGAGAAGTGCTACAGAGGACATTAAAGATCAGGAATTGTCAAGAAGTCTTGGGGCCTGGAGGTTGCAATTTTAGATAGGGTTGGCTGGGAATGCCTCACTGAGAAGGGGGTCATGTGAGTAAAGACCTGAGGGGGTGAGAGAGTTCGCTAGCTGGGTAGCAGGGAGAAGAGCATTCCAAGAGGAGAAAATGTCAAGGTCAGAGGCAGCAACGTGCAGGAAGAACTGCAACTGGGACTGTGCAGAGAAAGAAAGGATGGAAAATGGGGTTGGAGAGGAACCAAGAGACTAGATCTTTGAAGGAGAAAATGGCAGATTTCTGAACCAATTTTGAAAGTAGGGCTGACAGCATTTGGATGTCTCACAGGCATCTTAGACGGAATATGCAGGAAGCAGATATCACTCCTCTAACCCTCAAAATTGCTTTTCTTCCATGCTGGCCCTTCTCAGTATATGGCATCACCATCTACCCTGCTGCTCCAGGAATTATCCTCCATTTCTCTTCTTTATTACTTGTAGTCACCTCCACCACCTCCAATTCACCAGCAAGTCCTATGAATTCTGCCTATAAAATATATCCCAAATCCACCCACCTTCCTCCATCTTCACTGCCTCCTTTATCCTTCTCTAAGGACAAATTTGACTTGGGGTTAATTTTCTAGCTCTGTTACCCTGGGAACCGGATTCAGGTGGAATGTCAGCCTGGTTACTAAGCGTATGGTAAAAGTGACCCAAATGGTAAAGTACAACTGTCCTGAGAGAAACTATATGATAACTGTAAATACCTGGTAGGAAACCATAGCACTGGGATTCTGTAAATGCCATGACACTTATAACTGAGCATGTCCCTTGCAGAGAAGTTAGGAAGCAGTGTCCAAGGACTTGTTACAAAGTATTAGCCCCCATGGGACATGGGGCTTCTAACCCGTTGCCCCCATTGGTGCAGATCTTGTCCCCTTGCACCTGAGTTCTCAGTGAGTGGTGGGGTGAAGGTGCATAGAGACTGGCCCCCAGGACTGCTTATGTGGATCGCTGCAAGGACTTCCACAGAAGGAGATGGTGTAATGCAGCCCTTCTGACCTGCTGTGTTTCTAAACCTGTATACTTCTGAGCAGACTGGCACCAGATGTGGTCTTATGAGTCTGTGGTCTTATGAGTCTGAATGTTTAATTTGGCCCCAAAACATTTCCTAATGGGGATTGTACCTCCTAACTCAACTATATCCATTATTTCTCTTCTACAATCCATTCTCCACATAACAAAGTGGATATTCAAACAGGAACATCACTCCCCTGCTGAAAACCCTCATATTTAGAATAATATCCTCTTTATTCATCCAGGTTTCTGAAGCCCTAAGAGATCTAGTCCTTGCCTCCTCTGCAGTGTCACCTCTACCACTCTCCCTCTTACCCACTGCCTCCGAGCCATGGTGGCCAGATTTTATGCTTCTTGACACGTCCACCTTGTTCCACTCTAAGAGCTTTTTACAAGCTGCTCCTTCTGCAAAGAATGCTCTTCCCTCTGATTCTCCTGTGCCTGGACCATTCAGTTGTTATTCAAAACCTACTGCTGCCATTCAGACTTCAGTTAGGACATCTGGAATTTCTCAGTCTAAAGTAGCCACCCAGTAACTCTCTAACGCAGCATCCTATTTTAATTCTCTGATAGAACGTATCACTGTTGACTTACATATTTATTTGTTTACACTCTAACTCTCCCATTGGAATATAAGATGCATAACAGTAAGAGTTTATGTCTGTCTTATTCACTACTATATGGCCGGTTTTTAGAATGGTGCCTAGCACTTGGCACTAAGTTGAATGGTGGAGCAAATGAATAGTTAGTGATGGTGGGAGGTAAGAAAGGCCCTTTGTGACATTTACAGTCTCCTACACTGCCACCCTCTGTCACCTCTTGCTGATGTGTTACAGGGCAGCATCGTCCTCCCTACCATGGTTATCAACTTGTAAGGGATAGATTAAGATGGATTATAAACTAGGAAGATTTCAGGCAGGTTAATTTCACACAGGATGCAGGATGTCTGAGATCCTAGATTTATTCCCACTTAAGAATATCAAAAAACAAAAACAAAAGAGGATTGATCTGAGAGAAACTTGCAGATCTGTCCCAGAATGTCTATTTTTAAATGACTAAAACATTGAAATCATAATGTCTGAGACAGGCCCTAGATTTTTGCTATTAGCAATTGAAAACTATTCATTTTAAATCCTTAATGTCTGTACTTAGCTAATAAAAAAGAAGATAGACCTTAAAGCTATTTATGTATGGCTTTGTTAGTGACACATTGTTTATGCCATCTACCTACATAAACTTACTTCCTTTTTGTGTATTCTTTAACATCCGGTGTTACTATGTTGATTCACTTTTTAACATTTTGAGTTTCTTAGTTAATACCTTCAACTTTATTTCCAAATGATTTAAAATATAAAAATAGAAACAATATTCTTTCAGATAATGGTCTCTTCAGTGAACAAAATAAAATGAAGACACTACTAACTTTCTTACAGTGTATTTGTTCTCTTTTGCTTAACTAAATAATGTCAATAAGCATTAAGGTTTTGTGTGTGTGTGTAGGGACTATCAACTTTAATTAGACCTGTTACATGAACAAGTAACTTATCTTCTCGACCTCGCTAGTTGAGGAGGCTCTTCAACAGCAATATCATGCCCTGATAATCAGATTACATTTTTTAACTTAAAAGGCCAAAAACATTATACACATATTTTTATTCCTCTTCTTTCATTTCCTCCATCTTTTCTTTTATCTTATGATAGTTTACATGTATGTGAATACTTTTTTACTATTACTTTAGTACCCTTTATGATACATACAATGATTTTTAGAAAAAGGTGAGGTAACCGTGGGACTCCAAGGTCTGGCCACAGTCCCTGGCCTAACAAGGATATTAAGTATTTCATAAAGATTATACCAGGAACCTTTGTAATTTTACCAGGTAGAAAGTCACCTCCTGAGGCAAAGAACTAAGAGCCCTCTTCTAGGGTTCACATGAATAGGGTAGAGGTGCAGAAGCTTCCAGCTCTCTCTTGCCTCATTGCCACCAGTAATAAATTTCTACACACACACTGGAGTCCACTTTGAAGTCTAAAATGGGGTACAAAGCACAGGTATGTTGGTAATGACTTGGTACTAAAACTCTCTTTAAGCTACTTGAATGTTTTTAAGTGAAGGGACTCTTAACACTTTACTGTAAGTGTTATTATATTTATTTTCACAAGACTAAACGCTGGAAGCTTTATGAACTGTATGTAAGCAACAGGGTGAAAGACCCAAGATTTTCCTTCATTGGTTTGATAGCTCTCGTTTTTTCTGAATTCAACTTTTTCTACTGATTAGAGAATGATTAACTTTTAAAGTTCCTGTTTCTAGTTGATAATAAACCTATTCTTAGCTATGAGAAATAGAAGAGCTTGTAGAATACTACAATGAAGCAGAAGCTTCAAAAATGATTTGCCAATGGATGGCAGAAGAAAAATTACTTTATTTCTGAGAACTTCTCAAGAAATTTTGTAAGCTGTTTGAAGGAATGGATTATATTTGTTCACCTTTGTATTCCCAATCATTAGCACTGTGCATAACTATACACATCCAACAAATAAATGTTCAGTTTCCACATTTAATCTAGGAGATAATAAGAGGAAAAGTGCACTTTTAGAAAGGCTGAAAAAAAATTTACTTAGCTTTAAACAAAAGCTGAGAAGCTTTAGTAAACAAGCTTAACTAGTTAAAGGGGAGACTGTTCCAGAGGGAAGGATGAAGAAGAGAGAATAAGAGGATTTTGAGTGTTACCTTCCTTCACGGAGAGGACCTCCGGTTTGAGGGGCAACTCCGAGGTTCCACTCGTGGCAGCTGAACCCTGGATGTCTGGTAGAGCATTCCGGCGGCCTGCCCTTGCTGATGATGCAAAATTGTTGACCATTGGCTCCACATCCGTCATTTCTGATGAATCTGTCCTCATAGCAACATCTACAAATAGAATGTGCACATGAAGAAGAGGATGAGCCTAGTCCAAGGTCCACGTTCACACTGGTGGGGGTTAAAAGGCATGGCTACATCAACAACATGGAAACTTTGAATATCTAATCATTGATCGTACCCTGCATCTATGTCTATGCTAAGGTCCTGGAGCTTCTATTTGCACTTTTGTACACTCGCTGAATAAAGCAGGAAGGCCTCAGTGTGAGCCAGATTGCTATAAATAACCTCATAGCCAAAGGAGCCATTTGGATGCTTTAGGGTGCAGTAATCTCTTGCCTTTGATTCTGCTTTTCTATGGATGCATCAGCCAAATGAGGGCTTGGAAGGAAATGCAGACTGACTTGCTGGCCACTCCTGTGGAGACTCTGCCTGCCAGTATTTGCTTGTAGTGCTTGCTTAGGCTGAAACCAAATCACTATAATTTGTAAGGACCAAACAAAACACACTTTTTTCTCTTTAGAAATAAGAAATTCAACTTTATCTCAAAGGCTTTTTACCCCAGTGGCAGCTGTGTATTTCTATCTGCTCTAGTCTCAGACCTAATTTTCAATAGACTCATGTCCGTGTTTGGGAGAGTAGAACCTGTGTTACCTTTTCTTGCCTTCAAGTGGACATGGTAATAACTAGTGCTTTTCTAAGCATCCTTTATGTTCCTAGCAATTGTCTCTCTCTATGAAAGAATTCTCAAGAGACCATTCACTATACAGCGAGGGAGGTAGCAGACATTGCTTATTCTAAAACTAGCCCTCTCTTTTATTTATTTATTTATTTTGCAGTACGCGGGCCTCTCACTGTTTGGCCTCTCCCGTTGAGGAGCACAGGCTCCGGACGTGCAGGCTCAGCGGCCATGGCTCACGGGCCCAGCCGCTCCGCGGCATGTGGGATCTTCCCGGACTGGGGCACGAACCCGTGTCCCCTGCATCAGCAGGTGGACTCCCAACCGCTGCGCCACCAGGGAAGCCCTAGCCCTCTCTTTTATATGATGTTTTCTAATGAATCTTTCCTATGAAGTCAACACTGAAGAGTATCTCAAAAGCAGCAGCAAACTTTTTTTTTTTTGAGAACCCATTAAATGCTAGGCTCTCAGCTGGGCCTTGAGAGTACAGAGGAATGAGTTATTCTCCTCTTTTAGGGGACTTGTACTCTCCAAGGAGAGAAAAAAGGTTTACATACAAGGATAGATAACATCATAACACAGAATGTGCTGAGTATCAACCAAGAGATGGAGATACTCAAGGGCTGAAATATATGAACCTTGGCCTACACGAAGCAAACCAAACTCTTCACCTCAGTTAGAAGGGAGCCCTTTCCAATCAGTTAACTACAATTCAGGAAATGCTAAAAATGAAGTGAAACAGTCACAAAGTATGATGCATTTGATATTAGAAACACAATTTCTTTGGTCCATAGCAACCAAGAGATGACCATCAAGCTTAGTGTGGGCCTCAGGAGTAGAGTCTAGGCTACTTCCCCAGATGGTCTCATCTTTCCAGGAATCATGGACAATTTGAGAACAATGCTAGATTTTCAGACATAATTTTGGACTTCTAACTGTTGAGTATTTGCCAATTGTCTGGTATTGACAACATAAAGTAAAGAGCACTGGACTATTAGTCAGAAAGAACACTCCATGACAGGCTTGCAAGGTGATATTGGTTCATTTCTCCGAGTCACAGTTCCTCCCGTATATAATGGATATAAACATTAGCCTGACTGATTCACAGAATTCTAGTGAAGAACAAATGAGATAAAGAACATGGAAACTCTTTGTAGCTATAAAACCATATGTTTGATTACCAGCATCACTGTTCATTTCTCACTAAGTTTTATTTACGCCACCACCTTCTATGTATCCCCCTTAGTCCTAACAAGAAACATCTTCCTATTGAAAGACCTCTTGAGTTTTTTAAAAGGGAAACCAGAATTTATTCAATGCTACATGAACACTTTCACATCTATTATCTCAGATAAACCTCCCAATAATCCTTGTGAGGTAGTGAGAAATAACCCCCACTATATGGATGTGGTAACTGGGGCTCAGAAAGGTTAAGTGACTTATTTTAAGTTGAACAACTGCTAACCTAGTACAGAAGGATGCAAATCCAGTTTCAGTTCACTCTGAAAGCAAGATGACATGGATTACCACAAAACTATCTTTCTAAATTCCGGTGATATACATAGACAGCCAAACAACAGCTACTTCAGATTCTGCCCTTCATTACTTTTTAAATAGAAAAAAATATATACAGTTAACCCTTGAATGACACCAGTTTAAACTGCACAAGCCCACTTATATGAGGATTTTTTTCAATTAACATATACTACAGTGCTACACAATCCACAGTTGGTTGAATCCAGAGATGGGGAACTGCAGATATGGAGGTTGGATTGTAAAGTTATACACAGGTTTTTGGCTGTATGGAAGTCGGTGCCCCAACCTCCATGTTGTTTAAGGGTCAACTGTATATATATGTGTGTGTGAAAAAGAAAGAGATTCCCTGTCTTTTCATAGGTATTCCTCTCTGGCTTGAATGTTTGGTTATCTGTGAGCCCCTCGCACTACTCCCCATGACACACAAATTTCAATTAGAGGTTGCTTCTCTATAGGTCGTGAGGAGTACTTGACACCAGTTTGGAAACAGACCCCATTTGCAGGCCCCCATTCTGTCCCCAGCCAATTAACATCACATCAAAAGCCATGGCCATGATGAAGTGTTTATTTCTGTGAAGGATCTTCCTGTGTAATCGCAAAGAAGGTAACCATGCTAAGCTTGGAGGAGAAGCTCCACGAATACCTTGATTATTACTGTCCTGACAGTCCAAAATCGTAAAACTGAAGATAACAATAGATATAAGAATATTAAGATACACTCTTTAAAATACTTGAATGCTATATATTTTATGTTTAGCAAAATGGGATTTGTCAAAGGAGTACTGAGTTAGAATTTGCATACTGACAGAAAACTTCCAAAAGGTGGCCTGTAGAGTGGGCCATCAACATGGAAGAAGACATTCTGGGCTCCAAGTTTCTTCTTTGCTATTGGCTCCTATCTTGAAAGTTTTTGCTTTTGCCTTTATACTATTATTTCTGGCACAGGCTTTCTAAATGAGTCCTTTTTTGTCGACTGGTGTTAGAAAACAAGACCATCACAAGCCAAAAAGTTTGTCAACATTATACTCATTAATTACCATTTTAAAATCAAAACAAAACTGGATATGCAGGGAGGTCAAGCAACAGGTTACTTTACTCCAGAGCTTTCCTTGGTCCTTTTCCAAACTCTTATTAGGCACCATCTTCCTTTCAGAGCCTGTCACTGATGCTGAGTGACCAGGATGTCAGGCTCCACCACAAGATAGATAGTTTGCCCAGCCCAGACCCACAGGGCTGTTGGGACAGGGAGCTTTCTGATCTTCCCGACAGAATGTGCCGGTGACTTAGAGACACTGGGAAGAGAGTCTGAATGCATAGGGTGATTCTTAACTGGGCTCTTTTAATCCCCTGGTAAGAAAGTTTATTGCAGCACTAGAAATAATCTGGAAGTCCATCAGGAAAGGAATGATTGAATAAACCATATATATTATATTATGGAATTTTATATGGCTCTTAAAAAGAATGTGTTAGATCCAGTCAGATCTACTTACTGAGATATGTTCTTGACACACTGTGAAATAAAGCAAGTTTAAAAAGAAATATTTACAGCATGAGGGGCAAGGAGAAAAAGTAATGAATGTAATGTAATCTCAACTTTGCAAAAAGAATAAAAATTCTAGTTTGGAATTTAAGAGAGAACAAGGAGAATACTAACCACTGTTGGTATATCCTTACATATTTTAACTTGTAATAATGTGTTAAAATAATATATAAAGGACTTGAAACACATTCACCTGGCAAAATTATGAAAAACACCAAATGTCTCTAAAGTAACATTTTGATAATTTTACCCAAAATAGTATATCTTCAAGTGAAAGTCTCTCACTACCCCAACTAGCCATCCTACTTGTCTATTGTTATTATCCTATGCAACACTGATTGCGTATGCAGTAAATATATATACACACATATTTTATATATATATATACACATATACATACATACATATAAAGTAGAGAGAATTGCTCTCTTCAATGCTTTGTGACATTTAAAAAAATATATAACCCATAGAAAGATGAGGAAACACTACGAAGAGAAACAAAAGAGAGATTAACTTCCATGTTCTTTCAATTTTCTGGGCTTAAAGCTAATTGTGTCTGTGTTTGCTAACCAAGGCAGCTGACTCACTGGCAACTCTTCCTCTTTTTCGTCTACAGAATTAGCAGTGGAATTTGTATGAGTTCTGCTTTGTCAACTGTGGCTGCTTACAGGAGCTGAAACCATTTGGACATTGGGAGATTTCAAAGAAGTCCTTGCATGGCCCATGGCAAGGTAATGTGATTTACAAATGCCTGGGACACACTTTCTTCTCTACCGAAAATACACAGTTTTCAGGATGCCTTAACAAAATACCATTACACAGCCACATATACACACATGCCAGGATCTTTGCAGTCTCCAAAATATGAAAATGCAACACCAGCATAGCTGAAGAAGACAAAGACATTCAAGCTAAATGGAGCACTGCAGGAATATATATATTTATATATAAAGAAAGCACTAGTCAGCTTCCAGTGGGCTAAACATTTCCTGCTAGGAGTATGTTATAGTATGTTATAAGCATAATTATAAACAAATAGAAATCTTTGCAACCTCTTTCCCTTTCAACTGACACAGTCCATCTTCTTAGCTCACACTCATTCTTTTCTCCAAGTTCATTATTGAAGCCCAGCCCACAAAGAGGCGGATACCTTTTTTTCTAATCTCTGCATCCACGTCAGTCACGTCATCCACCTCAGTGAAACCACTACTCATTCTGCATGTAGGACTTGGAATAAACTCTTTACCCTCTAAATCAGTTCTCTGAAGTATGAGTCAGGCTATCTGAGAAAACACT